GCGCGTATCATGTCCCAGTGGTGGCCATTTCGTCCGCGACAAAATGTACGCTGCGTTGTCCCGTTGGTATTGGTAGCCTCGCCAATACAAAGCTGTTGCCCGCCATGTCGCTGGTTGTGACTCTTGTCAACGCACCAAGGTCGCGTCTTCCTCGCAGGCGCCACTATAACCTTTACCGATACCTGATGAGCTCTAGTCATCGGTCAGCATGGACTTTATGTTTGGTCTCCCGCGTGACGCTCATGGTCACACAGGTATCATGGTTTGCGTCGAGAGGGCGTCCAAGTGCATCGCGGCCGTCCCTGTCAAGGAGTGCATCAGCGGAGATGATGCCGCTCGCCTTTTTCTACGATCATGTCTTCTATCGCTTTGGACTCCCGCGGTCCATCATATCAGACCGCGATCCCCGTTTCACCTCCCACTTTTGGTCGGTTCTGTTCGAGCTCTGTGGCAACGATCTTGCCATGTCTACGACTGACCACCCCGAGTCGGATGGTCAGACCGAACGTGCCAACCGCGCGCTTGAGGATATTTTACGCGCGTACTCCGTGAAACAACCTTCTGCCTCGTGGGCCACGCACCTCCACCACGTCGTCGTTGCGTACAACAAGCCCAGGCTTCCACCTGCGTCTTACCCCACTATGCTGTCCACTTACAGCACCCTCGTACCCCTCAACTCCTCTACAGTCCCGTTTCAGGGGGAGAAGCTTCTGCTATTTCTCCGGTGATCGAAGCCATCGCCGAAACCCACGACCTTCCAGCGCGTTCCGTCCAGGACTTGACGGACTTCCTTGCCCATTGTAAATCTGTGTTGCGACAGATCAAGGACAACCTTGCGCTCGCTCAGCAGCGGCAGGCGATGCAATCCGACCGCCGTGGTCGTTCCAAATCGGCAACCTTTTCTCTCGACGACCTTGTCCCCTTTCACAAATCGGCCCTCCCCGGTCACGACTTTCGTGCACGCGCCCCTGGAGCCAGCGCGAATGTCAAACTGCGTTCAACTTGCCACGGCCCGTTTGCCGTTCTTGATGTCGTGAGTTCGACTTCCTACAAACTCGAACTTCGCAACGATTGGAACGTGCACCCGAACTTTTACGTCAGTAAACTTAAACATTATCACGCGCCTACACATGCACCTCCTATGACGCTCTGGCTCGAACGAAACAATCGTGCCTTCCGCGCGTCTCTGAGCCCTACGACCCCAGAGTCACTGGCCGTCACGGCTGCGATGCTCGTGCGCATGCATCTTCTTCACGTTGCCAGACGATCGAAAGATCCTCAACCTATGCCGTCGCTCCGTCTGCTGCTTCAAGACCCGTGGTGCGCGCGTTACTTGGTGCTCGTTACGATCGCTACGTTGACACCCGCCGCCTTCTAAGCTTTCATGGTTCCGCACCAGTGAAGACATGGCGAGAGAGAAGATCCATCCTGAAGAAAGTCCGATAGTATTGTATTTAAATACGAAACTCATTGAAACAAACACAGTACTAGACAGTCACCGTGGAACGCATTGGGTCAAACAATCGGGCGACCCAACTGCCCTGCACAGCAGAACACACGCCAACCTAGGGAGACATAGGTAGAAGATCATGTCTGAGACATGATCTTCTCTATGGGCGGCGCGCCACTTGCGCAGCACGACCGATATGTCATCAAGTAGGTTCTCGTCCGGCTCTCACGATGACTCCTCGGCATCTAGTCCGGACCACTTGGCACGGACTTTATAGCGGCCGTCTACCGCCAAGTGCGCTTTTTTTGGGCGCTCCACATGGAAACCACCATCGCCAAATGCGATCTGCTCAACGAGGTCTTCTGTGACCTCGCATCCGCCTTCATGGTACATCTTCAGACGGCACGCATACTGCGTGGGCAATCCGAATTGAGGCACCGGCTGTTGAGTCTCCATAACGTGGTCCTTGAATACGCGAAAAAAAACAAATTGTTCTCACACGCGTCACTGCAGCACGAACTTTATCGGCCGTTGAATGACAGCACCGACCAAAACAAAAACGCCCACATTAAAGTTTACAATCTTGGCACGCGTTTTTTGTCGAGTTGTCGTCTTGCTTATCGTCGTAGCTTTTCGCTACGCGGGTACACCTCACGGTGCAACTATTCCATGGCGAGTTTTAGGCTCGCCAAAGTTTGTCACGGACATCATCGAGCATGTCCGTGCATATCACATATCCTTTGTAGCTGGGTGTACGAACCCTGCTAGAGGTGCCTTTGACTTCAGACCTCTTAAATCCGTCACAGGTGCTACCTTACCGAGCCTGTCAGAAAGCTGGTGATACAACGCGATTTGCACTAATGGCAGGACTAGGTGCCATTCGTCGGCACACAATTTCATCTAGCTGAGCAAGGCCTTCAGGTTCCGTAGAACAAGACGTTTGACCGCTTCAACTGTCCCATTTACCTAAGGACTGTACGTTGTCGTGGTGTGGTGGTGCCACGGTCTTGCGCACCTTTACGATGATTTCGTTCTTGAAGTGCGAATCACCATCAGAGACGCACGTGTCCACGCAGCCATACAGTGTGAACCAGGAAATCAACGCAGTGGTGACGTATGTCGTCGTTGGCGTTGGAACGTGTGTGGGCAGCAGGTTCTGAACACGACGCATACCATTCGAGAGCCTGAGTCCAGCGATCGATGGTCGCAACGTGCATCTGGACGGATTGCGTCAACCCCACAATCAGAGCGAGATACTTAAAAGTGGGTGCCGGCCTTCTTTGTCGTGTTACGCTATCGTCGACGACCTCGTCTGTTCGGCCTCAAGTGCCAATCTCGCACGGGCGAGATCGTCCGGCGTTCTTTATGGCGTAATGGTGGAAGTGGCGCTTGGGATGCCAATCGACTCACGTGCACCGCGTTCTGCATCCGCGTTCTCCCGTCGTGCGGTAACGTTCCCACCTCCGCGGCGTCCGTTTGTCGCCGAGGTTACGACACAGAACGACGTGATGATAATCCACCATCCCACATTTCAATTTCACGGGCCATGGAGAACCAGCTGTACCCCAACCACGTGCACGCAGCGCCGCACCACCACCACCCATGCCCAAACTGGACGCCATAACCCTGTACGACTGGATGCGTCAGCGACTTCAGCTGAGCACAACTGGATAAACCCGGTCATATCGTCCTTGATGACAAGGACGTGCTTCAACCCATTTGGTGGGTCTGGCACGACAGTCAGTCAAAGTGAATCAGTTCGTTTGGCTTCTCGGCGTGCAGGGCCGAGCCCAACGGTCGAGGACCATGTCTCCATCCTCTTGGAGGCAATGAAGGCACGCTCTTACAAACGTGTCCACATCTTCGACCAGTGTGGACCACGCAAACATGTCTGCCAACGCCTTTATCGCAGCGGCGATTCGACGGTACCCTGCCGCGCCTTCATGAGCTATAACGCAGCGGCTTGACTGCAGGGCTACTGCACTGTCTGGCACCCAGATACTAGTAGGTGTCTTCTTCGCTCCAGGCCACGCCGGGTGGAATGGCCTCACCCCCGTCCAATGATGACGGTTGGGCGTCCATAATTGACGCAGCCGTCGGCCATTCGAAGCCCGCCTGCTGCAGTAGAGATATCACGCGCAGCAGGTTGCGGGCATGTGCCACGGGCGTTACAGATGGCGTCGAGCCCCAGCAACTAAGCAGGTCGCCCCACACGTTCACGTCGCCCAGCAGGCACTCGATCGAATATGGAAATGTCGGCATGATCAATGCCAACCGTTGACGCTTGTCAGCCTCGTATTTAGCGAGGTTGCCGTTCGATCCGTGAGGGATAAACATGTAGACAAGGTTGCGATGGTACGTGAACAGACGAAACCTACCAAACCGTCTCAACAGGTAATCGAGCCGCTTGCATGCCTCAACCATAGCGAACGTCACCTTCTCGACAATCGGTTAACGCGCGCGCACCATACAAGGAACCGCTGAGGAACGCGAGCGGCTCATGCCATTGATGTTCTAAGGGCAGTTTCAGTCGTCTGGCGGCACTTACGCGGCCACCACCCAGAATCGATCGCTTGCGCGAGTAAAGACGAACACCTCCATGTCAAACATCAACGCGAGGATGCGACTGGGGCACTACATGCCTCAACGCCGTCTTCACATCCATGAAGCACGCGGCATGGTCATCGGACCAACCAACGGTCGCGAGTTCCACTTGCGACAGGGTCGTTTGCTTACTACTTTCGCCGCCTTGGCACCATTTGGCTTCACGCAAGAAGAATAGGCACTTTTCGGATTGAGCTTCAGCCCGTACGTATTGACATGCAGGAGTGTTTTCCTTGGTAAACGACGGAATATCACTGGTACCGCTTCAAGCGAATTCAAAGTGGCCCGAGCGAGAACATGCGTGGAAGTTCATCGTTCCTGTAACGGGAGGTGTTACTGCGTCGCCCCAAAGTGTCATGACCGATGCGTGTCGCCACATTGATTTCTCAGGGATGTGCACATTGTGAACGAATGGAGATGTGTGCTTTGAAGTCCGCGTCGAAAACGTAGGTCCCACCACGGCCATGTCGCGGTCAGTAGTTGATGCGTGATTGAGAGAGTGATGCATTATGCCTCGAATTTAGTTCCATGATGTCGGTGCCATCTGACGTTTGTTATTGCTGCATAATTTCTCGCAACGTTGTCCAGGTCGTGATCAAGTCGGACGAGACTACATCGTGGATTGATGTCGACTAAACGCCTAACCGCAGTCGGACATGTGCTACGAAGCCTTGCCCAGCGTCTCAGCCGTGTCAATCATGTCGTCAACAATACACAGATTTCGCAAACGCTGGTTCTATTCTATCTGTGATTTAAAATTCAGAACACGAATAGAATGAATCGTCACAACCATCGAATTTCGCAAGTCATCCGATTCATCCTGGTTCTATCCGCTAAATTTACCCAATCAACTTGTGACTTGCTGAGTGCCCACTGTACCTCCCAAAATATTGTCGTGCAATGAGATCGAACTGCTTCTTAAGAAGCGACGTGGGGCGGGCTTCCGCAAGCGCACGTGACTATTAGTCTACTTGCTTACGTCGTGGAGAGACCTTTGGTCCCGGACTTTCGTTTTGACCTCCTATGCTTGTCCGATGCCGATGCCACATTGAAGTTCAGGTTTGACGTCCACGTCGTTCAACGCCTTGTTCTTGCGTTGCGCCTCACCGACGTTGTCAGCACGTGATCGGTGCCTGGCCACCAAAGCCCTGTGCATCACATTGTATTGCATGTCTTACCCAAGTCGCCTCTATGAGGTGGACGCAAACAAAGAGGCGTTCATTTCTGCTATGAGCAAATCCGCCAATCTGTAGAATGATCTTTTGCAATTATGATGAAAGGACATTGGACAATGGCGGGGTACAAAATACAACAAAGGATTGGGAAGGTAATCATGTGTGCAATGCTTTTTACAAATTGCCGCTGCTGCTACAGGGAACGACGGAAAAATATGCCCAGTGGTACTTCACCTTATTTTCGTTATTTTAATATTGTCGTACTAATCAATCTGCAAGTAGAGATTGTAGTATTTTTTAGCCAATGGGTGTCTAGTACATATACGGCCTATTACATGACAACATGCATGTATTATCTTGGATATACTATCACATCATGCATGTCCCTGCTCACATTACCCTCCTTGAATCAATATGTCGCAATAATACAATAACGTAGCGAATTATTGACGGTCACTTTTTGACTGCCAATGAAAATCGAAAAGCGATCGTACTGGACAAATATACAACCTCCATGAAGTTGAGCCTCCATATCTAAACGGTGGGAAAGTAGATAAATTATCCACGGTTTTTCAAAGTTTGAACTCGTTCATGGCAAGGAAAACAGCCTACTCGGCTGATACAATCTATAGCGCAGTATACGATGTAATCAACAAAACCGACACCATGGTGAACATTGCCAAAAGCTACGGTATACCATTCCGAACCTTGCGAACCCATGTGACTCAAGCTCAATAATGCAACATCCCATCTGAACCACCTCGCATTGGCAGAAGCCCGTACATCCCAAAGTCGTTCGAACAGGATCTGGTTGCCTGGGTCATTGCAATGGAATGTGATGGTCATTCGTTTGGAAGAGGACCAATAATGGCCAAGGCCAACGAGATTCGCAATGTGATCAACGGAAGTCAGTGTGAACCTCCACTGACTCATGGCTGGTATCATCGATTAATGCAGCATCATCCGGAGTTGTCAAAATGAAAGGCACAAGTCCTAAGTTCTGCCCGCAACTCCATCACTCAAGTTTGTGTTGTCAACTTTTTCCACCTGCTGGTCCATGCTTTGTCATGTGTTGACATGGATTCATCTCGGGTGTTCAACATGGACGAAACCAGTTTCTCTCCGGGGAAGACGTCAACGGTTGTGGCTGCCAGGAAGACAACAAAAAAGGTTTTCGTCACAGAGCCAACTATGTCTTCTCATGTTACAATGTTGCTTGCGTTGGAGCAGACGGCTTCTAAACCCCGCCGCTGTTTGTCCTCCCCGGAGACCGAGTATCGACATAGTGAGCGACCAACTGACCGTCCCTGGAGCTGCCGTCACGACTTTCAAGAAAGGATGGACGCGTTCGTACATTTGCCGCAAGTAGATGACGATGCTTAGCAATGCTGCTCCCAGTACGGTGAAGCGTCCTATTTTGTTGATTGTGGATGGATGTTCATCGCACTACTCTGACTACATTGTTGAGGAGGCCAATCGTTTGGAGATTTTGCTCCAAATTTTGCCTGCCAACTCGACACACCTTTTACAACCTTTGGACGTCAGTGTGTTCGACCCTTCAAACGTGCAATCCGCGCCAAGTTACATGCAGACTTGGGCGCTTCCTTACTGGCCAATGCAAAATGCGGTATCAACGACTTGCGAAGTTTGGGCAGCTTCAACAAAGCCTGCAACTATCATCTGTGGCTTTGTGCCCACTGGACTATGTCCCCCAAGTTGGAGGGTATGATGCACCGACTGTCACTGTTCAAAGCCCGAGCTGAACGTTCAGAAGAAGTTAACTTGTCCTGGTTACGTCGTGAAGAAGCTGTCCGGAAATCCGTCCTACTTTTGCCTCCTTTGAAAAGAAAGCGTTCCGAACGGAAAACTATTACGGTGGCATGTTTATTACAGCCAATTACCATAAGCAACTTCAAGAGCAAGCTGCTGCAGCAAAATTGAAGACAAAAACTGCTCCTGGAATTGACGCTGAAAACGCAACAAATTCTGTACCAAAGTACTTCAAGCTGCAGTTGTTTAAACCATCGAAAGCATGCACCTGAAATGTTTTATTCAAGAAATTTCATGAAATCTTAATTGCCAGAAGACTTTGTATTTTAGCCTGGGGGTCCCATCCACGAAAAACGAAAAATCTTAGATTTCCACAACACGAGAACACCTTTGCCCCATCACACCGGCTTTTCTCCCCGAAGGGTTCATCTAGATCTAGGCCGCCCCGTGGAAAGCCAGTGCTTGGGATGGTGGTGTGTTTGGCTTGGGACTGCCCCCCTCCTTTCGGAGAGTTTAAGGCGAACACTTGTCTCGTTGGTGGCAAAATCAAAAATGAGGATTTAATTTCACGAAAACAGGTGGCATATTTAAAAGCCTTGTCCCATTGGCGCCTCGTCCCATTAACGTCTCGTCCCGTGTTGCTGGAATTTCCTCAACCACTACTCCCAAAATTATTACCTCTTCACACTTCATAATTCTCTAATATTTGATAGATCCGATGATGGTGCCGATTCAAAATCACCAATATTGGTATACAATATCCAAGTAAAACAGTGGCCGATCATGGGTCCGCATTGTTTTTTGTCACGAATACAAAAATTCCCCCAACCACGTAGAATTGCCTAAACTGTTTATTCGTATATCACGTTTAAGACCTTGAACTGGCGGTCACGATGATGTACATATCAGCTCCAACCGAGAATATTCTATGAAGTTATGCAGCGTCAAAGTTCGTCACCAAAGTGACCGATCAATGGTTCGCTACGTTAATATATTATGTCATGCAAACCGTTCTATGTTGGAACATTCAATACTACAACAAGATCACAAACAATAAGAATAATAGCTCAGCCGTAGAGCTCCCGCTGGAAGCCCGTGTGACACTGGGTTCATTCCATGACGTGGATGTACGTTATGCCGTATAGTCAATGTGCCTTGAAATCTCAGCATTTCCGTTGTGGTATCCTAATGGGTCTTACCTAACGCGAGGTCACAATAAACAGTTGTTCACTGACGTTCAACATATTTTGTCTTCCAAAACTACTCATGTCTGTTGAAAACATATGCCAGGAACGCAATGACAATTTATCTTCATTTTGAGGGCGTCAGAATTATTTTGACTGGTTCCTCAAAAACTACTGGTTGGTTAAAAGTCCCGCTAAACCGCGTCTTTCAAATCAACGTCGAGCCATGGCCTACACCAGATACACTAACGCCCAACGCAAGAGGTACATCGATGGATTCCATCCAAGCACGCTGGCATCAAGAGGACGCGCTAGGGCTCAAAACATCGACTGGAAAACCTGGCGCAACTGGTTGAGCCGAAAGGATTCCATCATGAACAAACCATGCAACGCAAAGAAATACACGCTAGGGCGGCCAAGGTCGCCATGACACCCATCCATTTAAGTCGGAACTGCTACAGTTTATGGATACGGTCAGCGAAGAGGCTTCGTTACAATTGGCTTCACGAAAAGCCGGTTGTGTATGCAGCTGAAAAACGCATGGCTAAGGTAAAGCGCACAATTGAAGCCTGGGAGGACGTGCCATGTGAAACCATCACTCCCTCATTTGAAAATGCGTTGCCACGGACTCTTGTTGTGTAGCTTGTCACTTGATAATAAACTTCATTTTCGAAATATTTTTGGTTTTCAGAAATATTGTAGTATTGGTTGCTAGTCGTCGTGGTCGTAGCTGAGCATTAA